GTAAACGGAGAGTAGAGGAAAATAACAATCTGGTGAATTCAGAGAAGTACATTACTAAAGCGGTAAAAGACAAAGTTTACGATATTATGATATCCACAACATGAAACGATAACTTGTGCCATATGAGGATGTCAATATTATATAGATACATACAGAAGGGGCAGGTAAAATAAGATTTTCTTCTCCCTGCTCCTTTCCACCATGCGCTATAAAAAAACAACCAGTATAAGTGTACATGTTTTGTTTTAAAATAACTGCCATGTGTGGAATAAACAAATAAAACAAAAGAAAACAAAAAAAGGAATGTCTCAGGCCTGACTCAGACCTTTTTTATTAAAGTCCCATCTAGGAATATTTTTTATCAAGGTTTTATTATTTAATGTAATCTAATCCCAATAACCTAACAACTGTTATGCACCATAAGAGACTTGAAGAACAAGAAATGCACGAAAAAAATCAAGTTTAAGGTTTAAATATCATGGGGTTACGTTTGCAGCGTCCTCTCTTTTTACAGATGTCAAGAAAGACTGCCAAATTGCATAGAATCTCAGAGCAGACCTTTGGAGAAATATTATCTTCTTTTGCTTAAGATATTTTTTAATCTCTTTGATCCAATAAGAAAGAGTGAGAGTAATTATAAAACAATAGCTTTTTGTACGTCGACCGGCTGCTCCTCACAGCTCCAAACATCGGCGTAAATTCCCAAATATGCGTTATTTTGGTGAACTAATCGCATATTGGTAATATAAATGGATACTATCTTGCCTGAGAAAGTGACATAACTTCATAGCAGTTCATTTGAGAGCTTATAAACACTTTCATTGGAAATAAAGGTTCAGAAAGCTGGCGACCCTCATTAAAATATATGCACTTACGCCAGGGGTGTCAAACTCAATTTAATCGCGGGCCACATCAGCATTATGGCTGCACTCAAAGGGCCGGTTGTAACTTATATATAAATATATATATAAAATAATGTATTATATTACATTATTGCCTCTGCATTGGATTATTATCTGATAGGGTAATAACTTCATAATTTACTACGTCTGAAAGCAGAAGTCTGGGGCAAATAATTGCAAGTCTCTTCAGTGAGAATGTCACAAAATGATTTAAAAAGAAAAGCTGGAAAAAAAGTCAAAAACAGAAGTGACATTTAAAAAAAAAAGGAAGTGACATTTAAAAATAAAGTAACATTTAAAAATAAAAGGCATATTTAGAAGAAAAAAAGTCCAATTCTGAGAAAAAAAGTCTAATTTGAGATGCATTACGGGACATGTAGTTTATGGGCAACGTGCTTCTGTAAATCATCATGTAACCGTATAATAAACATATTATATTCTTTGCAAGCTCTTGTGGGGCCACAGAAAATGAAGTCACGGGCCGGATTTGGCCCCCGGGCCTTGAGTTTGACACCCCTGACTTACGCTCTAAATGGAAATGCTAACACAAAATATAGCATTGTGGAATCGCCCTAGATCAGACAAAGAATAAGGTAAATAGACAGGAAGTCAGATCAACACCACTATGGCCCTTGGTTGTTAAACTTGGTGTGACTGCCTTTAATTGATCTGCTTTCCAGTAGCACACACTACTCCTTGTGTTGGAGTGTAATTTCTCTTTTCTTGTGTATGTATAGAGGGACTTTAGCCCATTATAGTGCTAGAGGAGAGATTGGTTTTCTTTAGCATTCATTTTCTTCAGAACGTTATTTTCCAAGGCAAAATGTAATGTAAATTGTTTTAAAGCATGCATTTATCCTGTTAAGCCCCAAGCCTGTTTTTAAGGTCTCAGGCTCGAAAATGACATTCCCAGAAGAAATGACTATATCTTCCCTTCTAAAAGGGGTAAATTAGTAATCTTTTTTCTCAAAGCAATGATAAACCTGTGAGTTGGATGTAGAAAAGTCAGAATCAATATAGAATTTTTTTATTTTAAAGTAAATTCAGATTGAACATAGTAAAGAAATGTAAATGATAGTGTCCGTCCAAAAGAAAAACATTACTTATAGTGAAAACGACCCTTGAATGATGGGATCGGAGACTAAAAGCTTTAGGAATCCAAACTATAACATATAATAAGTATCCTGTATCAAGATTGATGCAAAACAAGTGACATTTGACCTTTTTAGAGAGGTTTAGCAAAAAAATAACACCTCTGGGGTCATTTGGGTGGATTTGCCGTTTCTCTGGAACCCATTGGTCGATTTTGATGATTGACACCTCTTTTCAACCGTTAGAGCCAATAGAATCGAGGGGGGGATCCTAAATCCACATACACGTTAAACATTGAGGAGTGAGAGTGATGCACACGCAGTTTGCCCAAACCGAAAGCTTTGTTACGCTCTGAAAACTGAAAACTAGGTTTATTGATGATGGATTATTATCAGTAATCATTTCAAAGTGACACAGACACATTGGATTAACCTTCAGCAGCGTTTTTATCGTTTTAATGCCATTGAACACAACTTTTGATCAGAACAAAAACAAAGGTAAGAGTATTTGCCGTTTGGCTCAGTAAAGCTATACGTTGTGTGATGTCTGGGTTTGCTTCCCCTGCCGCAAGGTTTGATCGCACAGTGATGATGGTAATACTTCTAGAATCTGTGGATTTCTACCGTGAGTTCTGTGCTAAGTGCGTTAGCATTTTTCCGCTCAGGGCTAATTCAGAGTTTTGGCGTTAGACTTGTGTTTCGTTTAGCTAAAAATGGTTCATATCGTCAGTTAGCTGAGTTTCTTCCCGTTAAGTGGATATGACACATAGTTTGTTAAATGTTAAGAAGCCCCGCTGTTTCTTGCAAGATGTTGTGTTTGGGGCTTAACAGGTTATTCTAAGGGTTTTGTCTTATTTGGTTTTTAATTACTACTCTGTACGTTTTAGTTCTAGTATTTTCTCAGACTGTATAGTTCCTTCTTTTTGTTTGCCCTAAAAAAAAAGGCCTTCTTAGAATTTGTGATGCTTAACCGTGTCTGCTGCTTCATACTTGCAGATTGGGAATAATGATTACTAACGAAATGAAGAAGATGGGGTTTACTGCGTGTGTAAAAGAGGAAGCCTTTATAGCACATCAAGGTTAAATACACAGACACCTTTTATAAATAGAAAATGTATAAATAGAAAATTAAAATATTGACTCCTCCCTGCATTAGAGTTATAATGTTTACAGATAGGTGATGATTTAACTGTATGGTTTATTCGGATGATTTTGTTAGTTTTATTATCATCTGTACCTGTTTCTTCTTTGTCTGTGCTATTGTAGCATAACTCTCATTAGGTGTGAGCACATAAGCTATGAAGCAGTTTTGTTAGTTTGGTATGTTAAACTTACATAGCTCAGTTTATCAGATAAGTTTAGTTATGCAGGACTCAGGAGTCCCCAATGATGGACACACGTGTGTGTGTATTGAGTTGTAGAATTGATCAGATAGAGCAACAGGGTGGTCCTGCATATAGTTGTCCGTACATCCTGAAGAAAAGCCCATGCGAAATCTGGCATAAATAAGCAGTAAGAGTTTAATCTGCTGTATTCATCGGTTCCGTTCAGTCTTTAATTAATGGGTAAAATGAGTCAGGCCTAGCTTGGTCTACGGGGCCAATTTATGAGCAACACATCTTCCGTCTGTATAATTCACAAACTGACCTCGGCTGTTTGACTCATTGATTTTTGCTAGAGTGGGTCTCCTAAAGCATCCCTCCCCTCCTGTTGGTGGGACTTCGTCCAGGAAGCACTGTGTTCCGGCTCTGTGGCTCGGGCACATGCTGTGGTCGTCACAGGGTTATTGGGAAGGTGAGGAAGGCTCTGGCTGGCTGGTCTGCTGGGTGCTCCGGGCTTCTGGATGTGGATGGCTCCCACAGGACCTGCTCCCACTGATCATTACTGTCTATGAATAGCTGCTGCATTGCAGATGGAGGGAGGAGAAGGGAAGGTACACGGGAGGAAATTATGGAATGGGTAGAGAAGAGCTAATGGGTTGTGGAGAAATGGGGAATAAGGAGGTGTGTATTTATGTTTTTTGTGCGCATGTGGGGAGAACAATTTCATTTTCAAGGATACTCAGGTCCCCCACTGTTTTCAATTTCCTGTTTTCAATGCTGAAAATAAAAATCAGCACATCAGAACACAAAAACAGCCAATTGTCATGTCGTCAGATTACTAAACAAAGTGTGTGTGTGTGCAAGTATCAGAGACAAACAGAGAGAAATGTTTTCGGTGAGTGACTGAAAACAGCCAGACAGGGTGGAAAAGAAGATGATGAAGAGGATGTGTTCACCGCCTTATTATTGCTGAGCAGCCTCAGGAACCACCATGTTCACTTATTATGCGATGAACACATTCATAGGACATGGCAATTTTAATTCACTGAAGTCTGTATCCTACATTTAAACAAAGACTGAGATATTCCTTATTTCATCACCAACATTGACCTAAAACCAAATCGTATCCTAAAATGGAATGGCTAACGGGGATCTACTTCTGAGATTTAACTCCAACTTGACTTTGTAAACAAATTAATGTCCATATCTGAGTAATGCCGGGCTGCAAGTGGGGATTTTGTCGATTCCTCTGATTCAGGCAATACAAAAAACGCACATTCAGACTCACACAGAAAAGATAAATATCATACCCCTTGTTATGAGAAACATGTTGCCAATACAGATTGACTGGTGGGTTCCACCGACTCTTGAGTTATTTGATCGATTGTCTGGCCTTTTTGATGATGATGTTGATGATGATGATAAAAAGTAATTACCATTTCGCTCTGCTACAAAATTCCTGTGGCATAAACTGGCAGAAATGTGACATTATTTTGCCCTTGTGGCAAATGTTTGAGGTTTGGTTTCTGCATGAAAATGCTTTGGCACTAAGGTTAAAACTCAGACTTCTCGCTCTCTCCTCTCTCCTCTCTCTCTCCGTCCCTCTCTCTCTCCCTGTGTCTCTCTCTCATAAATATATACACTCGGCTTCATTCCACTTACTTCGTCCAGTCGCGGTTAACGGACGCGCGGTTGCTAGGAGCCACGCTCGTATATACAGGAGCTTTAACGGCAGAGCAGCACGGGCTCTCCCCCGCCATTTCCTCGTGTCGAGCCCTGGAATGTCGAGTAGCGGCTCGGGCTCTTCCTCGCGGAAGGAGTTCGATGTGAAACAAATCCTCAGGATCCGATGGAGGTGGTTCGGTCACCCCTCGGTCCCTCCGCCTCAGTCCCCGCCGCTGGGAGACTACTTCGCGGGGAGGAGGGCGGGTGGCACCTCCGGAGATGGACCTTCAGTAAGCGGCTCTAGCACATCCAATTCAGCCAGCGCGAACCCTAGCTCCGTGAGTCACAGCGGGCTGGTGGCCAGCGGCAGCGCCGGGTCTAACCTGTGTCACGGTGCCAACAGAAAGTTTGGTGATCCGCCCGGGAGTCGGGGCGGTCCGGGTGGAGCGGCAGCAGGAGCCACGGGGAGCTCCTGTCCCCGGTCCTTCAGCCAGCCAGAGTGCAGGAGCCCCGCTTCCGCGCTGCCGTGGGTCTCTCCGCCGCCTCATCGTCGCTCCCGTCCGGGTACGAGCATGGAGCCTCCCGGAGAGGCTCCGGTGCTGCCGCTGGTACCCGAGCCACCCGTTCCTGTCAGCGTGGAGGAGGAGGCAGCAGCACTGGCAGCTTCGGGCACGGAGGAGAACAATAACCACCTGGAAACCGACTCCAGCTCCTGCAGGTAGGAGGGGGCTTGGATTGGTTAATCTGTGTTAAATATCTGTCTCGGGACATTGTAGCTAAAACTAAAGTTGTAGGGCAGAAAAAAAGTCAATGTTGTTCTCAATCTCAAAACCCAACTCCCTAAAGTTAGGGCAAGAACATCTCCTCTGGTTGACTAAGCTTTTACAGGAAAGCAAATGGGTGTTTTATAATTTAATTAATCATTCTGCTTTATCTTCAGAAGTTGTAGATAACTGACATTAATTTGTCGCTTTACTGCATTCATTATCATCATTGCTGGAAGGTGCACTTTGTGGTTATGTTCCTCCATAAATAGAAAAAAGTAAATGGTGGATTAACTGAGAAAGAAGCTGGTCACAGAGTATAATGCAGCAGTCGAGGGCCACAGTACAGACAGACAGAGAGAGAAAAATGATGGCTGAGTATCCTACCTTTGGGACAGCATGTGGTCCACTGATTTCTCCCCTCAACCTCCTAATGAGGCTCCAAGAAAAAGCTCTTAGAAAACACAAACACAAACGCACACTCTTGTAAATATGGGATTTTCAGAGTCAAATTAACAATATGACTCCAGGGCTCCTCATGTAGCTAGATAGTACACTTGACATTTATATTGTTTTGTCTTCAGTGACTGATTCTCTTAAGCTTAAAGCCTTCACAAATCCTCAGTGCTTTGCATGTTTCTCTGCACACGCGTGATGGTGTGTTATGCATTGGTGTGGCCATCCAGCTGTTGTGTTGTAAAAAGGGCATTAAATTATTAGTTGCCATAGAGACAGCAAATCAAGCCAATTAGGGCATCATAACTCCTGTCGAAGATTTATGTTTTTTTTTATGATGAAGCTGTAAATGTGATAGAGAAAAGGGAAATTGTGTGTGTGTGTGTGTGTGTGTGTGTGTGTGTGTGTGTGTGTGTGTGTGTGTGTGTGTGTGTGTGTGTGTGTGTGTGTGTGTGTGTGTGTGTGTGTGTGTGTGTGTGTGTGTGTGTGTGTGTGTGTGTGTGTGTGTGTGTGTGTGTGTGTGTGTGTGTGTGTGTGTGTGTGTGTGTGATACATAATGATGCATCTGAAAGCCTCTTATTATACACTGTGTTCCCAAGACACACATCAGAAAATATAAATGATTCATACAGTAGGACATGCACACACTCTCACACTTTAGAACAGCTTTCTTTGGGAGCAAAACCTGATGTATTGTTTTAAATCAATGAATGTTTGAAGTGCTCACGATTTCACGGCATGTGTATGATTGTGAGACAGAAACAAATGGAAAGAAAAATGTGTTTTAAAAAATGTCTCTTTTTATGCAAGGCTTGATGCCTCATCTTCAGTGCGGAACATGTGTAACATCTGCTTAATAGTAATGCACATTTACACCCCAGCCTCATTTACATAAGCAAAGACAAATGATGATGTAAACTTGAATATAATTTGGTTATGTATTGTGCATGTGCATGGAAGTAGCCATGTCCCTCCCTGCATGGTGGTTGCCATACCAACACAGCTATTTCTAATTTCTATAGCTAACATGGGCAGTTCTGTGCATAACATGTTTGGGTGATTTCTGTATGAATTCATCCCATCCCTCTGAGAGCTCCTGTGTACAGCATGATATTCCAACAACGAGTGGCAGCATCCCAAGTGGGATCATGGAGAGGGACACACACTGAATCCCAGAGTGGCTGAAGGCTCGGCTCGACTCCACTGATCTCCTCCTCCCCTTTTTTACTTTTCACCCCACCCAGCTCCCCCCTCCCCCTTTAATCCTGGTGTGCCTCCCTTACTCACTCTCTCTCCCCCTCTGTCCCGTGTTCATCTCTGCCCACCCTTGTCCATTCATTTTCCCTCTCTTTTTATCCCTTTTTTTAATGTGTTGGGAAACAAAAGAGTTTGTATGTGTGTCACGGAGCGGGTTACATGTGACCAGGCACCATGATTGTATCATGTCGTACCAAGTCACATCTGCATTAGGTGTGTGTGTGTGTGTGTGTGTGTGTGTGTGGTGTGTGTGTGTGTGTGTGTGTGTGTGTGTGTGTGTGTGTGTGTGTGTGTGTGTGGTGTGTGTGTGTGTGTGTGGTGTGTGTGTGTGTGTGTGTGTGTGGTGTGTGTGTGTGTGTGTGTGTGTGTGGGTGTGTGTGTGTGTGTGTGTGTGTGTGTGTGTGTGTGTGTGTGTGTGTGTGTGTGTGTGTGTGTGTGTGTGTGTGTGTGTGTGTGTGTGTTGTGTGTGTTGTGTGTGTGTGTGTGTGTGTGTGTGAAAATATCGGGCTGCATGGTGTTGCCCCAGACCCTAGACATATTCTCTCTCTCTCTCTCTGTCAATGTTGAGTGCCTGCCAGGCTCAATTAAGGGGACTGGAAGGCAGCGTTCCCCCACTTCAAAGCCATCTCCTCTGGCAGTATTTAGCCACGTTCGTTTGTTACATACACGCGTTCCGTTCGGCCCAGACAATCAAATACACACACACACTCAAACACACACACACACCCTCAATAGGACAGGAAAGCTAGCCAAAAAGCCTCCTTGGAGGGTTAGATTAGGATAGGGGAGAGAAGACTGAGGTAAAGATGGATGATGGGATGAGGTGGAATGAAGTGAGTGATGGATGAGATTATCTGAAGATATAAAAGTGAGGACGGGAGACGGATAGAGAGGAGCAGAGGACACAGGAAGATCACTCCTGCTATAGCACATCAGCAACCAGCGCACACACACATCTAATTGTGTGCATGAATACACACATTGAATGCCACGTACACCAGTGTTTACTAAGAACCTTTCTTATAAGTGAGAACATTTTTGAATTCAGCTAATTTCATTTTTAAGAGCTCAAAATTATTAATATATGTATTTTTTCAACTGTTTGGACTAAATACTTTGATATCCGGTTTGTAACAATTTATAGGGTTGACTATTGAGAAATGCTTAATGCTCCACATTGTTTACCAGCTAGTCACTAACTTTTGTCTTTTTTACTTTTGGTGCCTGGCAGGTAGTGTACAGAAGGTTCATCTGACATTTTCTTGCATTAAAACTGAACTTAAAAGTATTGTTGCCAACTGTGAAATAAAATATAATGATACTAAAATGCTTGACTTATTCTCATTCAATTAGGACTTTACTAATTAAAGATTATGACTTGTTTTCTTTTAAACATTATCTGAAATCTTGCTGAAATGCATTTGAGTTTTAAAAATCTTTGTATATTAGTTAGAATGAATTAATATTTCATTGAGGTTCAAAGGTGCCATTTGGACATTTAATAAGGCTACTTCTGCAAACAAAAAGATATACATGAAGGGAAGAGTAAATCATATCTGCATACATGTGTGTTGACTCAAAGGATGAGTCGCATAACTGCATTATATTTTATTTTGTTTTTAATTGAAACCTCCAACTTGAGTTTTATGTTTAATGTAAAAAAACAGAAAGAGGACACAATAGAGGCACTTTATTTCAGTTTTATAATCCTGTATTTTAATAGATTATGTTGTATTTATGGTGCACACAGCCACATGTTCCACTGCCTTCCCAGAATCGAGGTTCTCCTTTCTCTCTGTTTATTTCTGCGAGAATATGCCTGTGTAAAATTGTAATTTTGGACAGTTTGATTTGCAACATCGCAACCACTCACACACATACTTCCACTTCCCTAAAAGCGTGTGAATTTACTTTAACTGTAGAGATGAAATGATACAATCCGTGGAGTATCGGCTCATTTCCTATCTCTTTGTGCTGTAGGGCCAGTCCTGCCACTTCTGCTGCGAAATTAAAAATGGAAATACAGCCCAGGCTCTCATAAATTAAATGCTGGTTTGGGAGCCATGATGTCTTGTAATTCACACGGTAGCTATACTTCGGTTCTGTACTTTGATGAAGACACATGCACACACCATTTCACACACTCAAACCCTATTAGCTGGCACAGGCAGAATAAGATATAGACAGCTCCGGGCTGCAACACTTCCACCAGTGAATAACGAATGTTGAAGCCATCCTGGCCCAAAACACTTCTTCATGTCTTGCTGATTGTAACGATACAAGGAAACTGTTTGTTATTAGGGAGCAGAGTCAATTACTGCACATCTATGGGCTCTGCTCCCAAAGCAATTTAATTGGCAGCTTTTCTTTTAAGTGAGCTAAATTTATCTGGCCATTAACTCCTGGTAATTAGACCATTATAGAGTTTTTTCGTCTGCTTCTGGCGACAAACTGTTACCCTGTTGAGAAAAGAGGAAGAGAGCAAATATGTAGGAGGATGTGGCACAAGGAAAACAATGGCACATGGATGACCCCCAGCAGCTGGTGTAGCTCCACGCATCTGTCTCTTTGTCATGAATAAATTAAAAAGTAGCACCAGGAACACATGCACTCAAAGCTTATGTCTCTTTCTGTTTGTCCGTGTGTTTGTGTAAATGTCCGTCTTTGACAGGACGTCCAACAGCAGCGCCACACTGTCCTCATGCGTGTCGATGGAGCCATGTGCATGTCCAGAGGATTGTATGTTCACGGCTCTGTCCCACGCCGATGTCACCTTCCGCAAAATGGAGGGCTACCTGGGGTCCCGGCAGCTGTGTGATGTCACACTGGTGGCTGGAGAAAGACGGATACCTGCACACAGGTAAGAGCAAATAAAAATGAAGATGTTACACAAACATGCATATAAAAGACGTCACCTTACTACTTCTTTGATGGCACCCGGAGGATTGGTGACATCCACCTGGATCCATTTTCATCTGCTTCTTATATATAGACACATTGTCTTTTCTAGCATTTGGACTACCTATGTTGTACATTTATTATCTTTTTAATTTACACATAAAATCTATTGTACGTCTGTCCGTCCTGCAAGAGGGAGTTTTCTTCAGTTTTTTCCCCATTAACTGTGGGGTTTCTCTGGGAGTCTTTCATTGTCTGATGGAGGGTCCAACGACAGAGGGTGTTGTATTCTGTATAAACTATAATGCCCCCCTGAGACAAATGTAAAAATGTGTGGGCTGCAACTAATGGTTATTTCATTGTCGATTAGAAATGTTTTGGTTTAATAGATCCTTTGTAGATATAAAAAAGATATTCAACTAAAAATGATTTTAAAAAAACTTCACCAGTGTAAATATTAAGAAATAATACCTCCTGTAATATTTGCAGAATGAACGATTAAATGAAAGCTCTAATCATCATCATCATAAGTTTATGTAAGCCACTTTTGGGCCCAAAACTTGCTGGAGACTTTGTAAAGCATACATAATCTATTTAGATAATACAATTGTCACTTTTCAATTGAAATGCCATAAACGTGTTGGTTTTAGCTTCCTGATTATAATTCGATGACGATGAATAGAGAAACAAAAATGGAATGAAAATAATTGATAGTTGCTGCCCTAAAACTAACATGTACATTTAGCTTTTTGCAATGTACACACATGCAGAAGCACTGCAATTGATCTTCATCAGCACTTATGAACATGTGCCTGTACACACACATGATGACACATGCTGCACACACAGGATACTGTTTGATAATAAACCACACGCACACACAGTAGCAACACAGTCACGCTCATCTCATAAAAGTCCCTTTTATTTTCATAGTCTCTCTGTACCACATAGTCAACTGAGCCCATGAATCATGCATCAAACACACACACACAAACACACACATGCTTGTCACCCGCCTCATAGTCACCACTATGCTGTTGCTCTCTGGGCATGTGGCCACAGGAGCAGCAGCAGGGTCCATCTGCTCAGAGATGAGACAGAAGAGCGGTCCTCCACCAGCAGAAAGACTTCTTTTCTCTCACTGCCTTCCTCCTCTGCCTCGTTTGATTTAGTCCTCCAGGCACAGATGGTGGCAAACAAAAGACCCTGCAGTATGGGAATCCTAATGGTGTATGTGAAAGAGTGTGTTTGCATCTGAAGTTGTGTTTGTGTAAGAGAATATGGGGTGGGAGTAAGATGTTTTAAAGTGGGTGTTTTGTTTGCAATTGATTTATTGTATGTGTAGGATAAAATGTTTCTATGGGAACAAAAAAGACACCCTCTATCTCTCCCTCTTCCTCTGTCTTACATGTACACACAAACAAAAGCACCTACATGCTGAATAGGCCACTTGTGCTGTGTACAGCTGCAGATCTCTTGTGGAGTTTGTTGCAAGCAATGCACTTTGAGCAAGACTCGTGCTTTATATGTTCTTTGAAATGTAGAGCTACATTATACTGTTTGTCTCTAGGGCAGTGCCCTATACTAACACACTATCTTGCAAAGCTATTTTTGTAGCCTCAAGTGGACACCTCTGTTGTGCTACCTCAACTGATTTCAGTTAAAAAGTTCAGAAACGTGTGTACTGTTGTTGTAGATCAATAGCTACGCATTTGGGGCCCACTTTGTGCATACTGTGGTTCAGTGTTACAAAAAGGGTCGATGAAAAAACTAGGAATTAAATAAGATGGCTGGAGTCACAAACAATGTATCCTTAGGTGCTTTTATTAACAGCCAAAATGCTGAAAAAACACAAAGTAACAAGGATCTACAGAAAGAAAACAAAACCTCAATATACGTACAGGTCGAGGACATATAACTGGTACCTCTCTGCTCTACAGCCACAGTCAGACGAACCTCAAAACACTTGTGGCCAGAGGTTTATATATGTTAAGCCCCTCCCCATAGGACAATCAACTATTTATACCCTTAATTACTGTTATTCTTATCTACAAACATATTCAAAATGTAAGGCAAATGATTTAAACACAATAAATCAAATAGGTCAACATATTCTATATTTCTGACCACAGAAGCCTTAAACAATAACATTTTTACACGTGAAAATTGTCACCCGTGCCCATGCACTACATGGTATGCTCCAATTGAGCACAGGTGTTTCCACTGATTGAGCCTCTACTTAAGGCTGCAGTTTTCTGTTGCTCTGTTTGGCCTTCACAACCTTGAACGAGAGGGTAAGCAGGTTACTTTGGCACAGCATAGTTGTATATGACTTCAAATAAATCTGTCTTGAACAAATAATGACTTTTGGTTTTATTTTATCAATGTCCAGCTAAGTTATTAATGTGTTTCCCTCAGTGTGCCTTTTACCATGCCCCTATGCCAACTGTGATGAAGGCGTCTTCTTCACATTCAGCTTTACTTTATTTGTCATATGTAGGTAAATGCAGGGTTGGCAGTCAAATTAAATATATTTGACGAGAGAACAGGGCCAAGTCACTAATAAGAGCACAAGTAAATGAGTGACTGAATGAATAAATGGATAAATAAAACTTGTTAACCTTTTTATTTATATAAAATATAAATGTTTTGTCAGTTTTTAACTCAAAAATAAAAATATGTAAAAAAAACATTAGCGATAGCATTTAGATGTTTGGCCGACATAATGTTAACCATGTTCACCAACTAAATTGAGCATTTTAGCAAGGGCCTTAAACCTCTACAGCATACAACACCCTGTATCCCTAGACTAAGAATTGGACAAGGAAAACCTCCTTCATAAAATCTTTAACGTTGAAAAATTATAGAAACCTCAATATAGTGTTGGACGAACTCAAACTCTGGTCCAATTGATTACAATTCATTCTGAGGGGTGCATGGTGATCCAGCCGATAATCTTTTAGACATTTCACTTGGATATTGGATAACTTTAACCTGCTGGTGGCATAAGGACAAAAGTCTTTAGGAAACATCCTCTGGGGAACAAAAATATCTGTGCCAAATGTCAATGAAACATTTCAATCTGGACAGAAGTGGTGACAGACTGACAACCATGCTGCCATCTCCAGATCACTTCCATGTGTGTGCCTAAAAAGTGTATAAAATCATAATAGTTGAGTAAATCTCTCCTACCAGTACTCCTATTGTTTCCCCTCTCTGTTTTTCCAACCAGTCTGCACCAAGCAGCACATCCAAACACAAACAGACACAGATCAGTTTCCAGCATCCTTCCTTTCCTGAGTCCAACTCGTCTGTTTCCTGCTCTCTTCCCTCTGGCGTTTTGTCTTCTCTGTGCCTTTCCATTACTGAGTGACACACTGCCTGTCATGTCTCTATCCTCTGCAAGGTGCATTTGCGTTTAAATAACCCGGTACTGTATATAGCCTGTGTCGCACACTGCAAGTCAGACTTAGACCCACATGAAATATTAAGCAGTCAAAATACTATGTGTGTGTGTGTGTGTTTGTTTGTATGTCAGAGAAAGAGAGAGAAGCAGATACCTGACTGGAATACTGGCAGAGCAGATTTCTCCTGACGATAGTGTTACTGTTTTTTTTACATTATTCCTGTAAACAAACACACGCCACTCTTTTCTGCTTCAGGCTATCTGTCAGGGTCCCAGTGTCACGCTCAGTAATGAGATTTTATGCACATTTCCACAAAACATACACACGTTAAATGTGAACACATGGTTACATATCTGTCAATCGCAACTTTAATGTGAGCTTTCTAACTTATCACCCATATTTAGATTAGGACATTAATAATACTTTACCCTGGAGTGATCTGGAGGTTTACTTTGTGTCACTGCCATTTAGCATGTATTACACAGTCAACACCCCATACATGTATTCGTAGCCGTTTATTACCTTGATATTTAGGTGTGTGTATTAAACATCACAATATTGCCAAGGGGTAATGGATTGTTGTTGTGGTGGGGAATTAATGGACTGTCTTTCCCAAATGACATTATAATTCCTCTCTGTCCTCTCTCTGACTTGCTCTCCTGTATACTACTTATCTTCTCCTCTTTCTCTCCCCTCTTAATTCTACATTGACCTAACATTACCCATATTCCTCTCTCTTTCTCTCTCTCATCCATGAGCTCAGCTGCTGTGATTGACACATGCAAATTGATAATCTCCTCTGTGGCTGCAGGGATTGGCATGTCTTTTATATAGCATAGACGCATACAGGGACTTGATCTGACTAGGGTAGTGTCTTATTTTAGCCTATATTGATTTGTTAAAGGACATTTTGAATTCTGTTTTAAAACGAGTGTAGAGTTTTAACATGACATTAGGGGAAGAAACAGGCTCTTCTGTTACTGTGTATCTTTGTCAAACATCTGTTTAGTTTTAGAGATGGTCTAATGTGGCACCATTTTCAAAGATACATAATCCTAAACAGATTAAGTTAGGCCACTGTCCCATATGTCACAAGTTATGAACATGTGTATTAGATACCAAAAACAAACTGCTGTTGGGGGAACACATCAAGCATTTAAACATCTGAGCTCTTTATCCTCAATATGCTCACTGTGTACAAACATCTGGAGATGCCCGAGGCCGGTGCCAGGCTGTTGTTAGCACAGTTTTCTTCTTCTACCTCAAATCACATTTCCTCCGAGAGAGGAGATTACAATGATAGTGCCAATTGGAGGGAATTCATTTCTTTAGAAGAATCAAGTGATTTATTGTTAAATGCAGATTGATTTTTAATCCTGTGTGGAGCACCAATGTAAAGATGTTATCCCATCTATTGCAGCAACAATAACAGTTAATTAACTTACTGTTATTTCAATTACCTGTTTTTTCAATGACTTTTTTTGAGAGATAGAAAGCAGTAATGATAACAGGCATCATTAAACTAAACTTAACTAACAAACAAACATTTAACTTCCTTTAACATCCTTAATGTTTTTTTACTTTATAATTCAGACCTATGCAGTTAAAGAAAATAGCAGTCAGATAATGAAACAGAAAACATCTTTGATCACCTCCTAAACAGCCAGCTATCTCTGTTTAATCATCTGGAAAGAACTGAATTTGAATGATGCTGATGCCTTTAATGTGACTTCCATGTGTTAACTAAACTACTACTGTGATATGTTGACAGAACGATAATCTGATGTGTCAAGCTGTGTCGTTTCCATGCCTCTCTGTTCTGAGTCTTCCCCTGTCAGTCCACCCTCTTCCTGTCAGTGAGGTCAGAGTCGTCTGTTCCTCCATCACAGCTGTCCGTCTCTCTGACTGATGCCTGACTCTCTCCACTCACAGGCTGGTCCTCTCATCCGTGTCCGACTACTTTGCCGCCATGTTCACCAGTGATGTGAGGGAGGCCAAGCAGGACGAGGTGAAGATGGAAGGAGTGGACCCTGATGCATTGTGGGCCCTGGTGCAGTATGCATACACAGGTATACAGGCTTAGTGATCGCCTTTTTTTGTGAAAAATATCATTAGAGTAGTACTTTCAGGCAAACAGCACATACCATTAAGATTAAGGATATTATTTTGGAATCTTTTTAGAAAATTAAATAATTTATTTTTGATCTATTTTCAAAATAAGCATCTTGAGTGCCTCTGACAGGGTTGAAACTGGAGACCAACCAACATATTGTTCACATCAACCTTACAATAACTTTGATTTGGTAAAAGAAACTGAGTAATACAGACATCGAATGGAGCACCATGTACTGTAGCATCCCATGTGCCATGCATTTGTTAGCCACAACTTGGGTCAGGATAATCCCATCGGTAACAGACTATACAAAACCACTCCAGCTAATGTTCTCTCCAACATAAGATGTGACATGGGGGAGAACCCTGGATAGTTTTTATCAACTGAAAGTAACACACTTATACAGAATACAGGGGGCAGTAAAACACATTTCTCATTTTAGAAAGGAATAATTGGCCATTCATTGAACACTAATGGCCAATTCAAGTAAAAATAAAATCTTATAGGCTATCCATGGTCATCTTTGGCCACCATCATGTTTTCAATGATAAATAAATGGACTTTGGTCCTAGTGCTATGTAAAATTAAGGACTTTAATATCCAGTTGCTTGAGTTGACTTGATCTCAAAACCTTTTAAATAACAAATATTAGACACTATAAATACGCAGTCTTTTTGTTGTTTTACAACTGTCTTACATGTCCTCGCTCTGTTTTCAGGCCGTCTGGAGTTGAGGGAGGACACCATTGAGTCCCTGCTGTCAGCCTCCTGCCTGCTGCAGCTGTCCTCTGTGGTTCAGGCCTGCTGTTCGTTCCTCGTGAAGCAGCTCCATCCCTCCAACTGTCTGGGTATCCGCTCCTACGCCGACGCTCAGGGCTGCAACGACCTTCAGAGGGCCGCTCACTCCTACACCATGGTGGGTTTACGGCCAGGCTACATCCCCGGCGATTGTAGAGCCACCTTAAAAAAAATGAATAAAAAGCGTGTTTTGGAAAATGTGGTTCTGTCCATGATGACACAGTTTTCCTCCATCAGACTTTGGTCATTTTCCAGTCTTTGTGTGACATTGAAAATGGGTTTCTCATTCACAACGCACCACATACCATTATCGCCACAATGGCCATTTTTCTTTAGCACAGGGTTGCTATGGTGACTGTGAAATAGCTCCTCCATTTACTTGATTATTCTTTTTCTATCCTTGTTCTCTCCTGTCTTAACAAGCCTCTCCTTCACCCTGCCTGCCTCTGCGTGTCTGCATCTGTCAGTGTTACTCTCTTTCTTCCCTTTTTCTCCAAGAGGATTATTTTTAAACTTTCATTTGTGGTAATTATTTAGAGAGGTGACTTTATCTAGGTGTCTGCCTTCGTCTATAATTCACTCTCACACACACACTCATTAATACACAGCTCACAGGATTATTACTGCCATTATGAAAGAGCCATAAAGTATACAGAGAAGGCTAGACCGTTTTTCTTCCCCCTTTTTTGATTCTCGTAGGTTCTGATTCCCTCAAAATGATTTAATAGATGTATTAAAAAAACACAAATGAGAATAGGAAACTATACCGTACAATAACAACTACTGTCGTCACCTTCCTTACTGTATGTGAGGCTGACAAAAATACTTAGCATAATGTTGGTAAACACTGGGGATATATTTGTACTCCCGGTGATCGTGTCTGCCTCATCTTAATTTGCTCGTTGATAAAGAACAACAAATACTTGTGGATTATTTGATCAGTTACATTTTCAGATTGTCAGAAAATGTAATTAATTTTTTTATTTCAATTAATAATTTAAGACATCTTCTGGTTTCAGCTTCTTCATTGTGATGATTATCTTCTGTGTTTATCGAGTTACTTTATCTATGTTTTTGACCATTTTAAACCAAACAATAAATTGGTTAAATTAGGAAATTAGGAGTGCATAATTCAAATGACTTTTAATTGCAGCTCGACTCTCAATTTCTAAAGAATCATGACATCCTTTGCTCAACCAAGCCCTTTGTTCTGCAGCTTTCCACCCTTCTTCCTCTGACCTTTCTCAAGCCCTCATTTCCTTCCTATTTGCCTCTCTCTCTTCTTGCCCTTTGATCCCTTCTCCACTCATATCTTCCTTTTTTTTCTCCATCTCTCATCTCCTTTTTTCATCTGCAATTCATTATTAATTCATCCTTCCTATTTTAAAACTAATCTGACTCTTTACTTCTCTTCTCTCTACACCTTTTCATCTCTCTGTTCACCAGGAAAACTTTTTAGAGGTGGTAGGAGGCCAGGAGTTCCTGTTGCTCCCATTGGACGAGATGGAGAGGCTGCTCACCTCTGAGGACGTAAATGTGTCAGACGAGGAAACCGTGGTAACCTCTTTGCTAACATGGGTTAGTCACGACACCACCACACGAGAGCGCCACCTTCCTTCTCTGTTGGCACACATCCGACTGCCGCTGCTGCAGCCACAGGTGAGAGCTTTGTCGAATATTCTGATGTTGTAATTGACCCACTTTAAGCAGATACAACCAATAATTCTATAATAACAATGTGACAAACGACAGCGCAAATCGATGTGAAAGGGGTCGCCATTACTGCTACACCTCCATCAAATGTAATATCTTTATATATAATCTGCTGGCTGTTTTGATAAGTTTGCCATATCAACTTGAAGGTGGATGAAGATGTGTCATTTGTAAATGTCAACTAGTTCCCCTTGTCACCAAGAAGCAAACTGAGTATTGCAGGTTTAATAACCACGCGACATGATATGCTGTTGAACTTAAAACCAAGTCAACAATAACTACAAATTATAGCAGAAACACTGAGATGTTCTGCATTTTTGGAGAAAAAGACTGCAATATTTATGTCCTGTCATGGCCAATAAGCAATCTGTTCCAAAGGTTAGTATCAGCACCAATTGGTGTATCGCTTAGTGAGACTACCAATAATAATAGTAATGTTGTAGTCTTCCCCAATCTGCTGCTCTTTTCCCATAGCTCTCTGCTTCCCACTTGTATTCTATACTCCTGACTCCATTTTGTCTTTTTGTCTCAAGCCTCATTTGGCAATTAGAGGGACTATAATCATTATGCTAACTGTAGATCACAACCATAACTCTGTCACATGAGCCGGTGTTTGTTTTGTTTGTGTATTTAAGTGTGTGCATGCATTCTTTCATCTCTCCTTTCTCCTCTGGTAATGTGGAGAGGGGAGGCAGAACCGCAGTTACTGCCCTCACACATACACAAAAACACACACACACACACACGCATGTGTTGTTGACCTTAATTAAGTGTGATGCCTCTCTTAACTGCAGCTCAATTATTTGTTCTCTTGATCTCGTTCATGACTCATTTCTCCTACTATAGATAAAGAAGCCATAGAGATAAAACTGCCCCTGCGCCCTCCTCTCCTTCCCTCCTCTGTGTGTGCGGCCATACATCTTCCAGGTTTGCACTTGTTGGGTATACAGTATGAACATCTCAGATATACGACTTTGCCCTGGTCAGCTGAAATCACAAGCAGCTGTAACATGTAATCAGGCGAGAAGATGGATGGCGCCGGTGGAGAGGTAGAGCAGTAAAGTAGCACCAGAGCAGAGAGAGCAAAAGCAAGACAGACAAAGAGCTGAGGGAGGATTCAGCCTTTAACAGTATATCCCCCACCAGCACTACCATGCTAAATTGATAAATGAATTAACATTCAGCAACCTAATGATCAAACAAATATAGCGACGTATAAACCTCACACAGACAGTTGATCGATATTCATCAACCATTTAGTCAGCTCTCTATCTCGGCCGCTGTGTGATTTCTCATTAAGAGGATTTCAATGTGCCAAATAAATACCCTTTAACCCCTTCTCTCCTCTACCACTGCAACACACTGACAAATACACACACACACACACACACACACACACACACACACACACACACACACACACACACACACACACACACACACACACACACACACCTGTCTAATCTTCTCAGAGGAGCATATGTCAGCCATAAATCGGACAGTGTGCACCGAACATATTGACAGGGCAGTAAGTGTTTCTGGGTGTCTTCATCAAGGAGACTACTACAAGCTCTTTCTCTGTGAATCAGTTGCTCTTAAAAATAGAAGAAAATGGTTGTAGTATTTGAGAAACAGCCCAAACACCAAAAGGGTTTAGGAAAATACATATGTTGAAGTCTTTTTTGACTATTTGACCGCAGCCTGAGTATTGTAAGGGAAATAAGAGAGTAGTAAAGCATAACAAAAATATACACACCCTTAGGGTATGGGAGTGTGTGTGTTTGTTTGTCATATGTGGTCAAAGCCCATGCTGCAACGCAGAGGAATACTTTCTCGCTTCACACTGAGAGGTAAAGAGAGGAGAAGGTGGCATGCCTGCAGGATTCAGTCTTATCTCGCCCTCCACATTCAGGCCTTCACAGCGTGATGGAGAAATAGCACAGGAGAGGACAAACACGTTTTTCTATCTCTGTCCTTCTTATACACACACACACACACGCACACACAAATGAGTGTCGAAATAGGGTTCACCGTAATTTGTGCCTCAGTGATTGTGTGCAATGGAAGCGAGGGTTCACCCTGCCGTGTAAGCTGCTTAACCATTTACCATGCTTGCTTTACTCTCTCCACGTCTCGCTGTGAAAATTGATTTTATATTCAGTGACCAAATTTAATTATTTGCACTATTTATTTTTTTGCAGTGGTAAAAGCACAGAAAAAAAGAGTGTGTAAAACAACCTTCCAGAGGATATAGTGCAGGTTCCTTCAGCTAAATCTTAAAAACAGATTGATTATATTCTGGTCAACAAACGTTATTCTGTGTAATTATTAAGATGACATGTGATTATTGGTGAAGTTGTATTTTGTGATATTATTGTGTTATGTTATTTTGTTTGTTTGTTAGTACATTTTTTATTATACATTTCAACAAAATATCAAAGGTCTGTTATTATACTTCTCTCGGATTGAATCTCAGCAGCCATGTCTGAACATAGCCACTGACACTTCTGTTCAGCCAACACATTCGGGTATACACACTTCTAATGATGTTTAATAAAAAATCCGGCTCATCTTGAACCTCTACTGCTTTCCATCTGTCAACACACACATACGCAAACACACACACACACAAACACACTCCTATCTAAATGTAAATCATGTGATTCTTGCCTGCAGGGAAAACTTGCTTCACACCCTGTCTCTCTCACAGGCAGTGATTTCCTGTGGATGTATTTTAAAGAACAGACTGGTGGATTGAAGTGCTTCATGCTGCCGCCCCTGGGGGGGGGGGGTGTATTTGTGTGTTTGTGTGTGTGTGGGGGGGGGGGGGTGAGGTTAGAGGGTATGGACTAGAGAGCTGATGAGATGCTGAGGAGAGATTAGTTCTCTAGTGTGTCAGATGATTAGTCTGTGCGCAAGTGTCCGTTTGTGTGTATGTGCGCGAGCGAGTGTGTGTTTGTGCACTAATGGCTTCTGGTCTGATCTAATCTCTCAATCAATGAGGGAACAGCTTTCTTTCGACCATCAGGCCCCCACAATCAGGGATAACATTGTAACCCGCACATGCAGTATACAAATACCCTGCATTTGTTTGACTGTTTGTTAATAGCAGTTGTCACATGTCCCTGTGTGTCTTCATTCTTTTTTTTTATGTGTGTGTGTAGTTCTTGGCAGACCTGGAGTCCAACCCTCTGCTGCGGGACAGCATGGAGTGCCAGCGGCTGCTGATGGAGGGGATGAAGTATCACCTCTTGCCTCAGCGGCAGCCCCTGCTGCAGAGCCCCCGTACCCGACCCCGCAAAGCCACTGTGGGGGCCATGTTCGCTGTGGGGGGCATGGACGCCACAAAAGGTACAAACAGTCCCTTTGATGTTACCACACACCTCCATACATTTCATTTACATAGTATATTATAATGGAAATGATAAAAATCCTAATAATGATATCATCTTTATTCATAGTGTTCAGGTTTTTGGTTCCGGCACCAGACCAAGCTCTTTTTGTTGAATGTAGGACGTGTGTGTGGGATATGGGTGTGCAGAATAAAGGACATATTTGTTTTTTTTATTGTTGTATTATAGTGTATTTTTGGTGATTTGAAAGATGTTTTTATGTATTTTTATTCTGTTGATTTTTTTGTAGAAGGTCATTAAAAACAAATGTTGTGTGAACGAAAAAAAAAGTTTATCCTATTGTAAGCAAGGGCAATGTAATAAAAAAAGGTAGACAGTAAAAAGACAATATATGCTCAAATATAATAGGTGGAAAAACCGCCCATTAAAATTAGATAGACCTTTGCAGCCTTAGTGCGCAATAATGCTCATCAAGGCCGGCTGTTTATATTCTATATGTTACTTTATTGTTTTGTCCAGGTGCTACCAGTATCGAGCAGTACTGTCTGCGTCAGGACACGTGGAGGCAGGTGGCCATCATGAGTGGACGGAGGCTGCAGTTTGGTGTAGCGGTCCTTGACGGCCGTCTCTACGTGGTGGGGGGCCGAGACGGACTCAAGACCCTCAACACTGTGGAGTGCTACAACCCGCACAGCAAAGCCTGGAGCGTCATGCCTCCCATGTCCACACACAGGCATGGCCTAGGTGAGAAGCTTGTTTCAATAGAAATCTATTATACACTCAGTGGACACTTTATTAGATACACCTGCACAACCTAATGCAATCCAATACAAACGTCCTGAGATGATGTCTACTTCAATGATTGTGGTCAGTTTTTGTGTTTTTTCACTGTCATTGAGGTGTAAATCCAATTATATATATTTAGCATTAAGGTCATGGTGTAGATGTTGTACTGGTCTGTATTGTAATACTAATATTCTGCCTCCCTCATGCAGTATATGTAAATTGAAAGGACAAAGAATTAGCATGTAACAGCACTTCACACCTTACCAGTGGCGGCTCCAGAGTATTTTTGTTGGGTAATCTATGGTAGGGCTAACCCATACAGTGGTGGGGCTCAAGTCAGTATTTGCAATGTAATTACATACACGCTATATCGCCCCTAGCGATTGACAGTGAAACGCCACGCGTGAGGTTTAGATTATTTCCCTGTCTCAATCCAAATTGAACTGTATGAAATAAAAAGGCACATTTGTCTTGTAAATAAAAAGGGCGACCTGGAGTCAATCCTGCAATTTCCCCACAGGTGAAAGAGTTGACTTGCTGAAAACCCAACCCCTGCAGGGGGGTCTGGGGGGATTCTCCCCCAGGAGATTTTTTGAAATACTAACATAAAATACACATTCTGGTACTCTACTCTGGAGAATTGTTGTATTGGATGGTATTACATGTTAAGTGCTTCATAAGTTGGCAGAGGATTGTTCCTACATAACAAACCAAAGAGAGCTTATAAAGGTCAAATAGAGAAGCAAAAGAATAGCTATATTCAAGAGGAAGGTCAAGTTTTTGTGATGTGAATTTTGAGTTTGGTAAATCTTGTCTTTCCAAGTCTACAATTACAAAAGTTGAAGGAGTGCGATGGTGGTGCTTTATTCTTTTTTATAAATGTGATCATGTGTGTGAAGGGAGATTCTAGCACACATCTGGCACCACAGATGTTCTGGGAGATAAATCCCTTGAGTGTGGAGGTGTCAACATGCTGCTAACTCTGCATGCTTATGTCCACACACCTCACCCTCTCGTCCTAAACGCATGTGGTTTCATGTGCTTGTTCAAGCTGATAGTGTCTTGGTAGGTTGCCCTGATTAAATCATGCACATGTGGTTGTGAATCACAGGTGTAGCCGTCCTAGAGGGGCCCATGTATGCAGTAGGAGGACATGATGGCTGGAGCTACCTCAGCACAGTGGAAAGGTAAGAGGATACTTCACACAGCTGTTTTACTTTGTGTTATTTTCTGCTTAAAAGTTTAATCTGAGATTCTAATCCAATTGACTTTTTTTTTATATTGATCAAAATTCTCGTCATGGTCTGCTAACTGTCCATTAAAAAAGAAATCTGGTCTTCACAAACGCTCTTTGAATAAGAAATAAACAGGTTGCTGAAATGACTCCTATTGGAGTTTTAGAATGAATCTTTAAATGTCCATTCAGCTGCCTGTCTTTCTTTGTGTGTGCAGCAGGCAGGATACCATTGAAAGAATGTCAGTCTAGCCATGTTTGTTTTTATTATGTGCAGGACTAAGAACCTTTCACCTCTCTTTTACCAGGTGGGACCCCCAAGCTCGCCAGTGGAGCTTTGTTGCAAGTATGGCTACACCCAGAAGCACAGTGGGAGTAGCTGTACTCAATGGAAAGTAAGGAAATTCACTCACTATTGCTTTACATTTCTACATATATCAAAGTTACATTGATATTGCGTAACATGCGTTTAGATCTTTATTTAGGACATCCATTTGTTCTTGGATTCAGTATGGACTTGGATAAATCAATGCAAATTAATACATTTACTTTTTTAGTAGAAATGTCAACAAAATTACTTACTACAGATATATATACTGCATCAACCTACCTCATTATAGTAAATAGCCAATGTATGCCAAAAAAATAGTCAAGTAATTAGCAACATGTAGTGCTTGAGCCCAAAGGAGAACGTCTGTCAATGGCCTGAAACCAAACAGTTTTGGTTCTCTGGAGTAAGAAGAATTTGACTTCATGGGAAAACATACCTAGAGCTTCACACACTCTGCTTGTTTGGAAAATTGGGGTTACAAAGATTAAGTTATCTGCAGTGCTTTGCTGACACAATGACAATACTCAATTACACACCCACAGTCCCTAGTGAACCAATGCACCTAATAATCGTGGGATTTAATACGTAAAAATCTCCTCACTTGCCCCAGAGTTTTTGCAATATCGCAGCGCTGTTTTATTATTCAGTGCCTCTTAGAAAACTGGGGAGAAAGGCTTTTAAGATGCTAATTAATACAGAAATAACTGATTTGTGCTAAGCATGCCCGGCAGGAGTGTGTGTGAGTGCATGTATGTGTTGTGACTTCTCTGGGCTCTTTGCCTGACGGAGCTCATTCCTTGCTTGACTGGCTCTGATGCTTTCTTTCTTCGCTCTGCCAACTCCCCATCAATGAATGTGTGTACATAGAGTGCACACACACACACACACACACGCACACGCACACGCACAAGCACACGCACGCACACGCACACGCACACGCACACACACACACACCACTGACCTAAGAAACACACATTTAAATACACCCTTGCACCATCTGTTTAGATGTCACCAAATTGAAAAGGGACTTCCAGAGTCCTAAAATGTGCAGGGTGTTTGGTATGGCAGGTGTTTTGTGTTATCTGTGTCTGTGTGTGTGTCCAGAGGGATAACACTGTCTCCTGTCTTGCCTCCTCAGGCTGTACGCAGTCGGAGGTCGTGACGGCTCATCCTGCCTGCGATCAGTGGAATGTTTCGACCCCCACACCAACAGGTCAGAGACACAGGACTTCATTTTGCCAGAATGAATTGCTGTCTCCTGTTTGCTGTACTTTCTAATAAAGCGCCTCTGTGTTTTTAAGGTTATTTACCCACAGATCAAAGGAGACAGCTAACCCTCTCAGGATGTTAGAATAAACTGCATTCAAACAACTTCTGTTCAGTACATTCATTAGGTTCTTCACAAGGGCTCAGACAAGGTTGTTATTGGTCCCCTGAAAATAGAGTTGTTCTTTATTTTAGAGCACATTTTGGAAGATTTTGAGTTTGCACATTTTCAAGGTGTTAATTATTGGAACAGTTTTAAGGCAAGGCCAAAGAGGAAACAAATTTAGAGGAATATTTGTATTTAATTTTACATTTTTGAGAATAAAGCCTGAACGTTACTTAGTGTCAGATATTACAGTTTTTTTTGCATATTGAGAATAAAGTTGAAACAAAAACAAGAATCAACTGTTAGGATAAAAATATACATTTTGAGATTAATTCTTGAAATGTAAAATAAAATAAAAATCTTCCTCCTCAATATATTGAGTTTTTCACCGTGATTATTCTCTCTTTCTCTCCTTGATGGTGACAACCTCCATCAACAGGTGGAGTGCTTGTGCTCCTATGGCTAAAAGGCGTGGAGGTGTGGGCGTGGCCACTTGGCACGGCTTCCTGTACGCCATCGGGGGTCACGATGCTCCGGCCTCATCCCTCGCATCTCGGCTCAGTGACTGTGTAGAGAGGTGGGTCTATATTGACTGAATGTGTGTGAATCTGAAAAGTAAAATTCTCAGTGCACAATTTACTGTGTGATGTTAAAATGTACATACTACACGTTTTCAATTCTAGACATAGCGGTTATAAAAGAATAGGTGAATGCAACCAACTCTTATCTGGCTTATTTGCAAAGACTAATATGAGAAGCTCGATACCACTGGTGTGTGGAATATTGAGAAGAACATGTTAAGCTTAGCATTGCATTAAGTGCAAAAGCAGGACAGCTGCTCTGTACAAATTAAAAAAACATGACGACCAAAAACAGTGAATTTGACTAATTACCACATTGTTTTTTTTAGCCGTTTGATGAGTGCATACAAAAACAGAAGACCGTTTATATTTTAAGGTATGAGTTAGGTCTAACTATTTTCTGATAAACAGATTACTTGCAAATGTTCTTTTTATTAAAGTGTGTTAGGTTAACCTCATCACTGAATGAGATAACAATTCAGAATCACAATAGTGATTGAGTCTATTTGCAGTATTCTGAATTGGGTGTCTGGTGCAATTCTAACAGAAAAGCTAAATTACTGCTAAAGCAAACCAAACATTTGCTACTGTTGTAGATTCTAATTAAAAGTATTTAACCTGTGAAACAAGAGTTGACTTTTATTATAGTCACAGCACATCTGAGCTTCACCCTTATGGCTATCGTTCATCAAAAATGCACTTAAACAGCATGTTTTGACAGCGGATCAGTTTGAAATATAGCAGGGAGTAATGTTAGAGTCAGAAGCTGTGAGATGAAGAGCTGCAGGCGACAGACAGACCTCCAACTTCTCAGCGAGGTTACCAAGTACTTTCAAAGACTCATGCCATGTGCAGCATCAAATCAGATCACACTTGCTCACAGAATGATGGAAAAAAAGCCAATTACTGCGTGACTTCATTATTCAAATTAATCTGGGGCCTGTGTTACTAAACTGTATTTGCTGTAACCACCAGTTAATACTGTGTTGACAAATGACCCAGGAGAGAAATCGTATGGATTGCAATTGATGTACTCAAACATGAAATTGGATTGTCATCTAACTGGTGTGTTTCCCAATATGTTGAACTATCGAACATGCATGGTCTGCTTACAGGTATGACCCGCAGACAGATGTGTGGACGGCAGTTGCCCCCATGAGCATCAGCAGAGACGCGGTTGGTGTTTGTCTCCTTGGCGACCGCCTCTACGCTGTGGGCGGTTATGACGGCCAGGTGTATCTCAATACTGTAGAAGCGTACGACCCTCAGACAAACGAATGGACACAGGTAACACTCACAAACACACAAAACTGCAACATGCACATGAATGCAGTTTATATGCTTGGAGGGAAAGAGTCAGTACAATTTAATAAGCTGTGTTGTTTTAAAGTACACTCATATGCAGCAGATTTATATGTATCCACTTGATTGCATGTACATAGACACATGACTCTAGTTCAGTAAAAACGGGTAATAAATCCTGATGCACGTCAATAAAGTTGTTATATAAACACACACAGTTTGACCTTCCTCCAGCACCTCTCTCATTTATCATTGTGTGTTTTCATTGCTATGTAAATGTGTATTTTCCTCGAGTTAATATTGTCCTTTGCCGACGCAGCTGTAGGAAAAAGGATGTTCTCTTTACACGTGTATTTGTTTAAGTTGAATGATCACATATTTCAGCATCAGCATATTTCTGATCACACTACAGTTTTTACCTTATCTCCTGCATAGCCCCAGAGGGTTTTCACTCAAAGACGCTGAAAATCTGCTATTTTGGAGACAAGCACCATGCTGAGAACAAGAGGGGTGTAGAGATGGGTGGATATAGAAAACTGACACTTTGAGATGAAGACAAACTGAGATGTGAGCGGGCATGTTGAGACCGTTAAATGTGTCCTCTGTTTACTGTCAGAATCTGAAACAAACAAACCAGAGGATGGGTTGTCTGTCCTTTCCTGGTAGCAGCACTTATCCTCCTTGCTTGAACACAATCTTTTTACTTCAAAGTCAGACAACGTAGGTGGTAAATTCATGTTTTTAAACTGTCCGTCAGCTTCGACTATCGGTGTAGAGCCAGCGGCTAAAGGTCTTAACTTGACTAGACAACAATACAAATCTAAAGCCTCCCCTTGAAGCCAAAGAATAACCCTCACTTCCTGCGCCCTGCCGTGCTAAACTCTGTGTCTCCTTTGCAGAGAGTGAGGAGCTGAGGGAAGATTCACAATGCAATCCATTCCCTTCAGTTGACTAACTTACTTCAAAGATCAAGTGTTGACCTTGAAAACAACAGTGGGCAAAGCAATCTCATTTTAGATCTCATTTAGTAGTTATACTGGAGTTTCAAATCAAATCACATCATCTTTATCAGCAGTAAAGTGGGATTTATGGCTTTTTCACACAAACAAAATTGGCTTACCGAAAAATAACATTATTAAAGCAGTGAGAGTGAACCACAGGTTGCATGCTGAAAGAAAGACATGCTGAAACTCACTATAGAGCTCCCTAAAGATGACGGAAGCTTGGCGATTTGTTGGTTGTGTTTATTAAATAGTTGGTCCCTCCTTCCAGTAGTCGCATTGCTGAATTTTTTTTGTTTAATCAAGCTGTACCTCTGATTCTTGTTTTCTTTTCATTATTACCAGGTAGCACCTCTGTGTCTGGGAAGGGCAGGAGCATGCGTGGTGGCCGTCAGACTCTGAAAACACAAACATCAACACCCTATGCTAGATTGTGCATGTGGCTCTGAGACCCTCAGTGTACCGCTAATGGTCAAGAAAGCATCTGCCTGCCATCGTGTGACCAACGCCGGGAAGTAAGAGACTGATGACACACTTCGGCGGAGTCAGATTGAGCTGCCTTTCATTCATTTTAATGTTTATGTTTGGGTAAGCGTTAAATCGTGTGTCAGGTTTCTGAAAACGTTTGGGATTTGAACATCCTGATAACATATGCCACAGAAGTGAACCGCCATCGACACCCATGATGAAGAGGAATATAGTGTTTATCTGAGCATGAAGGAACACCTGTCGTCTCGCAGCTTATTTTCTTGCCTATTATTTTGTTCCTGCAGACAAGGCGGGACACACATGCACAAAAACCTACATGGTTGCTTTCAGCTTCTATTTCTGCTGACAGAAAGGTGAGAGAGACAGAGATATTGTCAAGAGACTGTTCGCGAGGCCTGATCCTTTTACGCTCTGGTTTCTCCTAACAATATCTGATGCCGTGCATTGATGCTATTTTAATATAGTCCCTATTATTTTATGCTGCAGTCGGCGAGTTGCTCTCCTCTTTCATTCCGTTTCCTGCCTGCTGACAGATGAAAGAAAGACTTTTGACATAATCAGCACAAGCTTATGAAGAGCCCTACTGTGAGAAACTGATGCTGTGTTTCTTTTCAGTCAAAAACATATCATAATGCTTTTTTTCTAATATTTATGTTTACGTCTTCCATGTTGCATCAGCTCACATCTGGAGCATACAGTATACTGTGACATCTATTTTATTGTAGCTTTTCTTACAATCTACAATGATATCATATCCGTTCTCATAGTTGAGGTCCATTTAGCACTGCTATTAGGTTTATAACCAGAGAAGTAATAATAATACAAGTAACTGTGGCCATTTGTTGATCCCATTTCCCACAGGGTTAGCTATCTACAAACTTGGTTTCATTCAGGGTCAGTATAAGCTCGGTGTGTGTGTGTGTGTTCGTGTACATGTGTTCTTTCAGAGATTGCAAGAAGTATATTTTCATCTCAAAATGAGAATCTTCCCCCCTCCCCTCTCCACATCCTCAATTCCCTGCTGTTTTCTCTTCCTCCCCATTTTCCCATTTCGTTGCCACACACACACACACACACACACACACACACACACACACACACACACACACACACACACACACACACACACTACGTTTTAGTGCAGAATGGATACCCAGACAAAATGAACAACACATCATATAATGAAACCTTGATCCAGCTGGTGCCAATGTTTTGTTTGATGTTGAGTTCAAAGCTATTATTATATTTGATGCTGCTCTATACAAAGTATAAAAGAGACAATGTGAATACTGTGAAACAACCTCATGTGTTCATATTTTTGCCCATGCTTTTGTGAACTTGCAGGTTCAATGCTGACACGTGCCACCAGCATTTTGTGCTGTATACTTAATTTTATATTTTCTCCATTAGGCTCAATGTGTGTGTGTGTGTGTGTGTGTGTGTGTGTGTGTGTGTGTGTGTGTGTGTGTGTGTGTGTGTGTGTGTGTGTGTGTGTGTGTGTGTGTGTGTGTGTGTGTGTGTGTGTGTGTGTGTGTGTGTGTGTGTGTGTGTGTGTGTGTGTGTGTGTGTAAAGTAAACTCCTGAGTGAGAGGCAAAGCAGCCTTCCTGTCTGAACTGTCATATCTAGAGCTAATGTAGCCAGGATGCACTTCACAAATACACGGACATATCACACACACACACATACACACATACACATGCACCGACACACTTAACCACACAGCTGAAAGCCAAGTGCCCCAGGAGCCAGTGAAGATTGAAAAGCCTTCCAGATTTGTAGGCATGACATCTTAAAAGCAGAGACTGTAGGCTAGCGATTCCCCACAGCTGAGCCGATGTTTATTCAAGCCTAATGCACTGCTGCATTATTCTATTTTCTTCCCCTTCATACAGCTGCTTATTTAGAGAGTCATTCTCTTTAGATCAGAGCAGAAGAAGTGTGTCACCTCCACTGTGTAGAGGTAGTCAGAGAGTTTGATCTCAGTCAGAGGTTACAAATAAAGACCGACATTCCAAATCATGTTATATATTCTGTGTATATTCTGTACATAAATAAATATAAAATCTGTATGTAGTCTAATTGCATTATGCTGTATATTATACAGCGCCAAATAAATCTATCATGTGTTATTGTGCGTTTCTGTTTTGTATTATGAATTGAGATGAAGCCGGGGTGTAATAAAGTGACAGTCATCTCCTCTTTTTGTACCAGAATATTACACCTTTTACTTTCCATTTAAATTATGTAATATATACTTATGTAACATACTGTTATCAATCTTTTATACTATAAAAGTCAGGACGTGATTTGTTCCTGTTTTCTCCTGTGTAAAATAGTAATATACAAAACCTTACAATAACATCTAACTCATACTAATGTTACTGATTTCTGCAGTTTTTATCTGTCACAGATGCACTATAAATGCCATCATGGTGTAAATGTGTATGTTTATGTGTGGCTCTTATCTCTTAACAGCATCCCCATCAGAGCAGCCCTTTGCAGTTCACATTTTCTATGGTTTTTATGCTCTGAATTAATTGTCTTGGCCTGGGTGTTTAATATGAGTCCTTACTCTTCTGTGCTGATGCTCTAACTTAGAAGCTACAGAGACACAGCGGCATATTGAAACGTTTTAAACAAGCCTGTAAGAAAGAGGAATGCTCACAATTTACAGATACTTTAACCCCAGGACAACAGCCAGGAGCCAACTGATTCACTATGTTATTTATTGCAGGGGAAGCTTTTAATCATAACCAGCTCTGACAAACGGCCCTCGGTGGCGCTGATAAATGATGCCAGTGACCTTGTCTTGCCACCTGAGTCCATTATGGAGGAGACAGAAAGGGCCGGACTGTCTGACTCCACATGTTTGTCATACAAGTGTTGAGGTACCCGGAAAACAATTTAGACATGCAGCTGCCTATGTGTCAGTGCTGCACACAGGTACACACATCTGCATCTACTAACTTAGTTACTGTACTCATCGGTGAGTCAATGCAAACGTAAGCTGTGCAGCCAACTGTTGTCTAAAGCTTTATTTGAAAATCTAGTGGTGATCCGAAGTTTAAAAAAACATTGCAAACCTATCCGTCTAAATAAAGTATGTAAAACGATGAACAACATTTTTAAGAATATGGATTTTATTAAAGGAAGCAGCCATAAGACAGTCTTGTGTTTTTACAAGTCATTCAGAAGAAAGTGCTATAGATTAATCAAGCAGCCAGAAAATATCATACTGAGTGAATAGAGTGATACTGTCAGACTGTTTACAATAAGGAGGTGCATCTAAAAGTGTTAATTACAATCAACAGTGTTATCACAGTGTGCACACCTCTCCAACTACTCATCATTTACCAACATTGTCATCACTTTGTCTAGATGTTTTTCAATGTCACTTCTTTTAAGTACTATATAATATAATAACCTTATCAGGGATATTGAAACATATTTGGAGTACGTTTGTTAACCTTAAAGGTACAAAAAGTATAAATTGGCACATTGACTTCTTGTTTTAAAAGTCAAGCATGAAAGTTTGGATTCTACTGGTTCAATGTGTTGTTAAAGGTTAGATTATCCTGCAAGGAAAGTCAATGGGAATCAGGCAGCCTAAATCGCAACATTAAAGTGTCCTGCAGCACTGCCAGAATCTACAGAATATGAACACTTAAGTAGGACTTTGTAATGCTTTCTAAATGTCTGTATAATTCCTTTTTCGACTTCACAACTGAATCATAAGCCTATTCTTGTGGGCTTCTTTGTACGGATTAAGAATCGATCAGAAGCTAATTTCCTCTGCAGCTGTTTGACCTCAACAGTGAATTTTTATAAATCACATACTTTGTATGAGTCATTGCAGGATTGCTTGTATTACATTGATGTAATTGATCTTTCATTATTGGATTTAATAACAATGTAGTTAAAAAAAGGTGAATTGCAAAAGCATTGATTCACTCTTTCTCGTTGTCTTACTGGCAAAAGTAAAACAAATCTGTTAATTTTTTTTCTTCTCTGCTCTAATTTCACCATTTTGCTTGGAAATCATAAATCGGCTCCCTTATGTGCATCTTAATGAGATCTAAGCATGGTGCTGTCTGCATCAGCTCGCTGTAGAACAGAGAGGACTATTTGTGTCACACCGCTGGCATTTCATTTCAGCTCCCACATTAATAGAGCTAAAATAGGCTCTCACCCTTCCATCAATACATGGGAAAGTAAAGAGGGTGCGGAAACACCAGAGTGTTTCCTCTGCCTTTCATCAATAATGAAATAACCCAAGAGAAGAAGCAGCATGATGTATTTCAGATGAATGAAAGTACAGTGAGCCTGCTCAGTAAAGAGTTAGAGAAGCAGAAGATGGTGTATCCTCTCTTTTGAAGAGCATTATTGATTGCTTATAGCCTTCTATCAAAAGATTAGAAGGGACAGAGCAGATGTCAGAGACAATGTGACAGTGGGATGTGACAGTAAGGTCCTAGAAGTTGTGCGAGTGTGCCGTCTACTGGATATGAGGTGTAAGCACACTGTCACACAACTTACTGAAGTACAAAATCATTTTCATTAAAATATACTTGGAAGTGAAAGTATTTGGGCATACGTTTTTGAGCCAGAATGACTATTTAAATAATAATATACATTACATTTATGGATAATATGCATTAAATACCTTATCCAGTACCAGGATCCCAGGATCATGAAACCAAACCTCTAAATATAACATTTCAATATGTCTTCTGTGTAAAAGGCATATTCTGAGATTTGAATTTCATCTTATGAATATAGCCCGACAACAATCAATCTTAAAATGTCACATGATAAATGAATAAGAAAAGTATGGACAAAATACAGGTAAAAAACAATAAACATGAACAGACTTTAAAAACAACAAAATAAGACTTTATTAGAGTAAAGGTTAATACTTAGTTAGCAATCAACAATAAATAGGCTAGCTTTTTTAACTCATTATAAAGGCTGTCTGATGAATGTAGTGGAGTATAAGTAAAAAAGTCAAAGATGTGACAAAAGATGTCATCAATATATAAGACATAATCAATAAAACATAACAAAAATAGTGCAATAAGAAACGGAACAGAAATAAAAATAGTGCAAGATAATGTTACAAATGACCAATGTGCAGGTAAAAGCGTTAGAAGTAAACTATGTATGTCAAATAGTATATGATGAGCTAAAGACAGAATGTAAAATTAATTACTGTACACGAATAAAATATAAACTTTCTTCAATATTACAACCCGTATATTATCTAACACATAACAACTCGTATTATGCTATATAAATATTTTAAACAAAAAGCAGTACACAGTACAGTACTCTGCTTTGAAGGCTTTGATTGGCTAAAACGGTTGTTGCTATGACATCGCCGTAGCTTCTGCAGACGCTTCAGAGTGAAGCATTGTGGGATACACACAACAGTGTCGAGGATGTTATTTTTTACAGTAACCATCGATTAAAAGTTTAACTGATTAAACGCCATCAAGATGAAGGTGGGTACCAGCCAAACCATGTAAAGTGATAGCATTACATCGGTTTTTAGGATTTCAGGCTTGAGTTTGAGCACAGAAACGGCTTCAGACGGCTAGCTAACAGAGCTACTTGCTAACGTTAGCGTTAATTAGGCAGCTAAGTTACTGTTGTGTGGTCGGTGTACATTGGATAAAGTTAGCTCGTTAGCTAAACCAGCTATTTTGCTGGCGATAGCAACCAACTACCAACTTATTGCGTTTCTAGGTGCAACTAACTCATTATAGAACTATGTATACCAAATGTCAGGGTAACATTGAGATATTCACATTGTATCAAGACAACATTTAAGCATGGTGCTAGGTTAGTAATAATGAGCACAATAATCATAACCCAGAGTAAGTTGTGTCTTATAGTATTTACATAACTAAGTTCAATTTTGCTTTGGGAGACACTGTCTCTTTTTATGCCCAGTTTATATTATAGGTTTTCTTTGTTAACTTCATATAATGACCATACAATTACAAATAAGTGAAACAAAGCAGACATCTAGCAAAAGTGAATGAACGTTTTACTGCATTGTAAAATACTCAGTTACATACAAGTAAAGTACATAAGTATTAGCATCCAAATATATATACTTAAAAGTACCAAAGGAAAAAGCTGTCATTATGCAGAATGGCAAAGGTTATGTAGATAAGTATGATATCGGCTTCCAAAATGTCTTCTATTACAAATACAACAAAATTGTTGAGTTCAAAACTTATAGTAGTAACATTTTACCACTTTTAGTAAGAGTTTATGTCTCAGCAAAGAATCATACAGCTCTGGAAAAACAGAACAGATCACTGCAGAATGATCAGTTTCTCTGGTTTTACTATTTAAAATTCAACAGACACTGGAATGGAATGACTGTCATACATGTAGAGATTGAGATTAAGGAATAATCAGTG